TTTGACTTTTTCTTTTTTTTTATTTTTTTTTTTTTTTTGTTTTTTTTTTTTTTTTAACTTTGAACGAAGATGTTTTTAAATAAAAACGTTGGACCAATTACCAAAAATTATAAACGGGATTCTTTACATTTCCCCTTTAGATATAATTAAAACAAACTACAGATATTTGATATCAATGATACCATTTAATTAATTTAGCCAAAAGCACCGCCAAAGGAATTCAAAAGAAACGTAAGACAAAATTAAAACGATAAAAACATTTTGAAGCTATTGTCACTACATCGTACTCAATTTAAATCACGTGTCCACTGTACCAAAAGGAGCTCAAACAAAACTTGTCAAACAAAAGCAATATTTTCTTTTGCAACACATTGCATCTGTTTTAAGTGCCAATTGTGTCTTTCTCTGTCATGGTCAGTCTTGAGTTAGGAGATTTTCCAGAATTTGTTTACATCCTCGAAATAATGCCAATCACCTGTTACGGAAAATAATTAATTCAACCTCTTTACCAAAACCCACTTGCAACAATTTGCACTTCAAGGCATAAAATACCTCGATTAATGTCAAAATTAAAAACAAAGAAACAAACAAAAAATTGAATAGTTATCGTAGAACCGAAAGAGTCGCATGCAACCCCACAAATTTCAGTTTCACTGTCCATGATTCTGTTCCTTTTGTGAATTTTCGACTCCCCAATGGACGTTCACCAAAGAACAATAAGTGTGTTAGTTAAAAATCAGTTTTTCTCAATTCTGTTAGTCAACAGATAGGAATATTCCATAGAAATAGGGATTAAAAAGTCTAAGTGACATGGTCCGTAGTAACCCCGTGTCCAAGTCAACGGTTGTGAAACATGAAATGGCGTCCAGCGCTTCCCGTGTTCCACGTGAACATCAATGACTGGAGAAAGAAGACATAGTTTGCACAGAGTTGTCGGTTGGTTGATTGGTTCTTTTGTCATCACGCCATGGATCATCGAGTAATATCCTGATTTAAAGAGAAATGAGACAAACATTATACATTTGCCGGTGTCTGTCATGATTTCGATAGAAGCAAATTATTTATGTAAGGGAGAACGAAATGCTGAAAAATCAGGATACAAAATTGACGTTTTTAAATCTGAATTTTTGGGTGTGAAATATGATTTTAGGAAAAATGTTTTCTGGGGATGCTGCTTGCGTACTTTCGTATGTGTGTGGGAGAGAGAGAATGAGAGAGAGTAACTACAATGTACAACAATCTCGTGGTTATAACTTAAAAGATATTTCATATAAAATACAATTAACTTACGTCATCGGCGTCGTGTGGTGTTAGGGGAACCTCCTAAACGGAGCCGTCACCTGTGGCCAGCTGTCAAGTGTCGTAACATCGTTTCCTGGATCTGTTTCTCAAACAAATAATATATGCTTCCCTTGTTTCCCTGAATTGCGTGGTGTAACTATCCCACAGAAATTGTCGCAACTTTTAATGCCAAAGGTTTCTCCCCCTCATACATGATATTTTAAGCATATCTGCTGAGAAATTTTTAACGTTTCTGCCCATCCTCCAGTTACCATTCACAATAAAAATTTATGGTACAACTGTAGAACCAAGAATATAAAGAAAGACGGATAATTTTTTTTTTTTTTTTTTTTTTTTTTTTTTTTTTTTTTTTTTTTTTTTTTNCTTGCGGTTTACCCACTGTGCAGGACAGGGGGGTGGGGGGGAGTACCAGCAGTGGGACGGCAAATTTGGGAAAGATTTTAGAGAATCATACAGCTAACCAGAAGGCAGCACAACTGCAAAATAATTATTGATTTATTTTACGGGAGATTTAGATTTTGATTGTTGCTGTAAGTGTTCATATATACTGCGACTGCATTAATTAAGGGATATCGCAGATCCAGATTGCGTTTTCTACGTCTCACCTAACGCATTAACCGCCGCCGCAAACATAACTGTCTCAACCAATTTTCTGTGAGCTGGGTGCTGGGTTTAATTGCTACACTCCTTTGGCAATGACAGCAGTTAAGAATATAAATAACAGCCGATTACTTTTATTTTTAAAAAAAGCCATTCTCTTCTGTGAATCATGAATTCACTTAACCAACTGCTATAGGCATGTCATGTTTGAATGCAATCAACAAACATATACACGCGAATTTACATAAACACTGTACATCACATTATATTTAATTACATATCAGAAAAATTTAAATTGAAGAAATAAAGCGCATTGGTGTGATTTTATATTACAGGAGCGGATCCAGGATTATTTAAAGTGGGGTTGGGAACGACAGGCCTCGGATGCGTAGCTGACCATCGCTCTCTTGGCGTGGGGTTCGGGGCCTGCTCAAGGGCCGAAAAATTTTTTTGGTGTTTTGGAGGGCAAACGGTGACCTTTGGCACTGTTTAGAACTATAATTCAGCTAGTCAAATTCTAATTTCAAGAGGGAAAAATTGTGTGATATATTTTTCAGGACCCCCCCCCGACCCCCTCTAAATCCGACACTGATACACTGTAGTACGTGCAGTAAGTAGTTTTTCAAAGCTCAGTTTCTTGGAAACAATGGTCGACCTTAGTAAAAATGGAAGAGGTATGTATTTGGTTTATTATTTTGGGGTTTTTTTTTTTCTTTCTTTTTTACCGAATTTTTCTTCTATGCGGCGATTGGATCAAAGGTATGCCTTAAGGATGCTTTAAAGTTTTACTTTTTGCACTTGAAAATGTATTCAGTTGATTTTGCCATTAGCCTTCAACTGGGTGCGTGCCGTGTAATTTATTTATAAGTTATAAAAACATCGTCAGGAAGGGGCAGTGGGCACGTGCCCTGCCCTCAGCTTCTGAGATATCTCTTCTTGCCCTTTTAAAAGGGAAATTAACTATAAAAAAGATGCATTTTGTCCGTCAAATTAATATAGCAATGTTGCCGTCGTCTGTTTGTAATTTTTCATACTTGTAACCCCCTCCTCTCCCCTAAGAGCAGGTACGATGTTACATCCTAGCCCTCAATTACAAAAAAAACTGCATCGGCCAGAGAACCAGTGATGACATTGCATCGAAAGGACCTATTTTATATTCGATGCTTTGTGATTTTATTTATTTATTTATTTATTTTTTTTAATCAAGATGTTTTTATATTAAAACTTTAGACCAATTATAAGAAAATATCCACGGAATTCTTTATCTTTCCCCTTTAACATAATTAAAATAAACTACAATCATTTGATATCATATTGATACCTTTTAATAACGATTTTAAAGCCACAAGCACGGCGAAACAAATTAAAGAGAAATATAAATCAAAAATTAAAATGACAATTACATTTTGAAGTTTTTGTCACTACATCGTACCCAATTTAAATCACGTGACCACTGTACTTCACCAGGTGAACTCTATCAAACAAAAGTTATAAAAAGCACTAGAAGTATTTTTTTTTCTTTTGCGCCACATTGCATTTTTTTAAGTGCCAAATGTGTTTTTCTCTGTCATGGTCATTCTTATGTTCGGAAATTTATCCATATTTGTTTACTTCCTCGAAAAAATGTCATACACCTGATACGGCAATATATTTCATTCAACCCCATTACAAAAATCCACATGCAAGAAATTGCATTAGGACCACTGTCAAAATTAAAACAAACAAACAAACAAAAAATAGAACAGTTATCGTAGCACCAAAAGAGTAGCGTGCACCCCCACAAATTTCACTTCCATTGTCCATGATTCCGTTCCTTTTGTAGATATTCAACTCTCCAGTGGACGTTCACCAAAGAACAATAAGTAAGTGAGTCTAAAATCAACTTTTCTCAATTCTGTCAGTCAATAGATAGAGAGATTCCATGGGAATAGGGATTTAGAAGTCTAAGTGACATGGTCAGTAGTAAACCTGTGTCCAAGTATACGGCTGTGAAACATAAAATGGCGTCCAGCGCTTCCCTTGTTCCACATGAACATCAATCACTGGAGAAAGAAGACATAGTTTGCACAGAGTTGGTCGGTTGGTTGATTGGTTCTTTGGTCATCACGCCATGGATCATCGAGTAATATCCTGATTTAAAGAGAAATGAGACAAATATTATAAATTTGCCGGTGTCTGTCATGATTTCGATAGAAACAAAATTACATTATTTATGTAAGGGAGAACGAAATGCTGAAAAATCAGGATACAAAATTGACGTTTTTAAATCTAAATTTTTGGGTGTGAAATATGATTTTAGGAAAAATGTTTTCTGGGGATGCCGCTTGCGTACTTTCGTATGTGTGTGGGAGAGAGAGAATGAGAGCGAGTAACTACAACAATCTCGTGGTTATAACTTAAAAGATATTTCAGATAAAATACAATTAACTTACGTCATCGGCGTCGTGTGGTGTTAGGGGAACCTCCTAAACGGAGCCGTCACCTGTGGCCAGCTGTCAAGTGTCGTAACATCGTTCCCTGGATCTCCGTCCCAATCCCCACATATCCCTTCTATCTGGGATTGCCAGACCGGAGGAATGTGAAGCTGGAGACAATGTCGGGCCACATGTATCCAAATATCGAACAGGGAGGATGGCAGAAGTATGCAGCGAACCTGAATGTACCAATCGCCATCTTTCTCAATTACCGAGATGTTAAAACCGTTCCCCACGAACTTTTCACCAGGTACCACAGTATCAGGACCAAGACTTTCATAAAGAACCGCTATCGGACCAACTGCATAATCATTTCCGACCTGCAATGATAATAAAATCCCGACAGTGTTATCTTTCATTATAATAAGCATAAAATTTATAACTAAAAATGATTCAGATAGCTCAACCTCTGCCAAGAAAAATAATAAATTTATTACTGAATTATTTATTAATTAACGGATCATCACCACATTTACTCATTTCTTTCTTCGTCAATTTTTGACCTCTACTGAAAATTCATGAAATTGGCCAATTTGTTATCCATTCTGAAAAGTTAAATGATTAACTAATCAACGGATCCTATCACCAAAAGCTGATTATGTTTCCTTTGCCCATTTGAGACCTAAATTTTATCAAAATCTGTACATAATTAGTTATTTCATTCATTTATCAATTATAATCCATAAACGGGCCATCTAAATCTAACTGAATTAAAATTACTGTGCTATTTTTGACCTATCCCGAAAATTTCAACAAAATCTGTTTATTACCTTTTGCGTTATGTATGATCTCCAAAGTCAAACAAAAAAGACAGCATTTACCTGGTTAGATCTTGCGCTTATAATAATTAAAAAAGGGAAATTTTGTTCTCATTCTGGGAGTCGAACCTCATACATACATGCGTCTCCTGGCGCATTCTTGGCAGGAGAGTTACGGGAATACGAATGAAGGGAACCGGAGGAGGATTGTGCCGGAAGTGACGTGTAGTGGTGTAAGACGTGAAGCTAAGTGGGCATGTTTAGCTGGGGGTGAATGGGAGTGAACATGTGGGCTCACAGAGAAAAAAAGCGATTTTTCCCCACAACAAGGTAAGATAACATGTTTACTTTTGGCATTTGGACAGAGAACACATAGAAATAATAGGTACATGATATGAAAACACATTACGAAATCTGAGGGTGCAAATTCTTGTGTAATTTGCATTCAATTTGTTTTCCTACACTGAGAAACAAGCAAGCAAACAATTAAACAAAATTGCTCATTAAGGAAAAGAATTGCGAAAGAACTTACTATAAATTAATGAATCTCACATACATACCAACATATTGCAACAACAAAGGAACAGTATTATGGAGACCAGAATAAAAGAAAAGTCTTCCACAGACAATAGAACTGGCTCGTTCCTCTGACCGTGAGCTTGGTTTCCCCATATTATGTTTTAGTGAGATTGCCAATGTATGTCTTCCTATTCAAGTTCATTAGTAACTACAGGCGTATCCCTGCTAGTTTTTGAGAAATAAGGGTCGGGAAATTAGCACCACTGAGCATTGTTATGATGTACCTTTTGAAATAGCGCAATTCCGTAACCATACGTCAAATAAAAAAAAAAACGGACACCACTTCCAGTATTGGGCTTGACATGCTCTACAAAACGCAACAAAGATATGCCTCTAGCTTTCACGATTCTAGAATAAGAAAAAGTATTTGGTGTAGGCAATAATGGCCACTTCCTTCCGGAAAATGCACCGATTGACCTTCAAATAGTTCTGTCACAAAATTTTCCCGATACCTTTTCAAGGGAAAAATGGAAGTGATATGATGAAAATTACGATCTTTACAGTGCGAACAGACAAACAAACATGTAAACAAACAAGCAGAATGACCAACGTACTTCGAAATCGAAATTCGGAGTAACAAACAATAAACACACCCGGTAATGAAAATGAAATCTCCCTCTGTATGAGGTTATATAAGAATACACTTGTTATCGTTATCAGTTTCTATAACCCGATATATATGGCAACCATATATACATCGAGTACAAATTTTCTGAATTGCTCACGGGATGCAAGTGATGTTCTGACCTTTGGAAGTAGTACATTAAGGCTTCGTTCACATGCAATGTCTATTTTCTAATTTCTATTTTCTATTTGCGCTATCTTATTATCACGGTCAGTGGCCTGAATATCCCGTAATTACTGGCAGCGCGAGCCAGTTACTTATAGTAACTTATAGTAACTGGCTCGCGCTGCCAGTAATTACGCCGCGGGATATTCAGNCTCTGTATGAGGTTATATAAGAATACGCTTGTTATCAGTTTCTATAACCCGATATATATGGCAACCATATATACATCGAGTACAAATTTTCTGAATTGCTCACGGGATGCAAGTGATGTTCTGACCTTTGGAAGTAGTACATTAAGTGTCCGAGAGAGAGAGAGAGAGAGAGAGAGATTGTGGGAGGGGGAGGGAGAGAGAGAGAGAAAGGTGTGTGTGTGTGAGAGAGAGAGAGAGAGAGAGAGAGAGAGGAGGAGAGAAAGGTGTGTGTGAGAGAGACAGAGATTGCGGGAGGGGGAGGGAGAGAGAGAAAGGTGTTTGAGAGAGAGAGAGAGAACAGAGGAGGCAGAGAGAAGAGGAAGAGAAAACGTACCGTTATTCTATACAGTCCATCTGGATTCGAAATCTTTTTGTAGTCAACGATCACGAAGTAAGAAAAGATCTTGAATTTCACTGCTGACAGACGAGTCTTCGGGGTGTCTTCAAAGAATTCTTGTCTTGTTATTACATACCAAAACCAGGTTGTATTAGACTTTGCCATGATACCGTAAACGTTGGTCGGGGTGTTATATTTGAAGACTCTCCCATCACACGTAACATAGCGGACATCACCATGCGCATGGCATTCACAAGCAGGGATTGGCGCTGAAATGGACGGGGACAACTTGGATGATAAAGGAACACTAATTTGGATACGTTCCAGTACCTCCATAAAAGGTCCACCTTCAGCATTAAAAGATCTCATTAAAAGTGAATGATACGCAAGACACAATACATCAAAAGAGGATTGTGAAAGGTAAAATCTTCTGTATTGAAAAGCTTTGGGACATATGATATGTAAGACAGCTAAGCTGTCAAATGTACAAACAAAGAGCAGAAAAAATGATGAAATAGGAAACCGTTAATTCAATAATACATTAATCTTAACAGCAGAGTCAGAACCAATATTTTGATTATGTAAAACAGGCAATATGGATATAAGTAAAATGTGAACTAACATAACGCTTCAGGACCATGAAAGTTTGGAATAAAAAAAATGAAAATTTTACAACAAATTTCATACATTCGAGAAAATGTAATAACCCAATGAAGCTGCTTTTCCAATCTGAGCTGTATGTCAATCCATTCTTTTAAGTTACAAAATAATAAGTACATGTAACACAGTTTTCCTGTCATAAAGTAGGTTTATGACAATTATGATACAGTATTACATAATTATTAAAAGCATAATCACCACCAAATTTTAATTATCTACTATACAAAATATTTGAATTCAGGTCATATAAATTTCATTCGACTTTATGTCCTGGGAGTTCTAAGTTACACAATGAAAATACCAATATGTGAAAAATAAAAATTTCATTAAGAACTGCATAAAAATGAATGCAATCATTCTGGTTGTCTAAATGAAACTACATTTCAGTCCCATGAATCTGTTCAGAACGTTTGAGATCATACGTTACATGGTTTTCCTTTTATGACCATTGTGGCGGCAGTGACCAAAACATGGTTTTCTTCAATGTTGATGCAATATTACATAATGCTTAACAGCATTATCACCGCCACTCTTTAATCACATACTAAAAGTATCAGGAATATTAAAAAATGTGACTTTCAAAAGTCTTCAAGCCCATGGAAGCTCAAGGCCACATCTTAAAAACGCCTTTATGTGATAAGTTTTGAAAATTTGAAAAATTTCACAAACAAAATACTGTATAACTTCCAGAAGAAGAAACGAATCAGGCTTGTTTTCCAACTGAAGCTGTATTTTAGTCCCTTGAATATTTTCTTTAAGTGTAGGAAAACTACACATGTATGTGACATGGTTTTCCTTTAATATAAAGGAGAGTGATTCCCCATATATCGCTAGACTGTACCTAGGCAAGCAACGAATGAACATAAAATGATTGAAACTGGTAACTGTTGTCAGCGTTGGATTCCCTCATAGCGATTTACAGGTAAATATTTTGACCACGAATCTGGAAAATAGCAATAAGTCGATATCCAACCTAAAAGTATGCAACGGTGTCCGTATTTCGAGCCTGTTTGTAAATTTCATTGCTAAATCTTTCGCGTTTCCGGACACTAAGTAATACAATAAACAGAGGACATTGGTCATCTTTCTACACAAAGAACATTTTGATGTAACACCTAACGAAGTCCTGATTTCCTGAAGTATATTATCTTTGAGTCCTTCTTTCGAGTTTCATTGTTAAGGAGCTGTTGGTCAACTACCAGGCATTTACATTTTATCAGCAATTAGTAAGCTTGGCTACTGATGATACTTAATTTGGAAGACTTTTGATACGATCTCTACCACTTGTGGCGGCATCACATCTCTTGTCATCAAAGTTAGTCAGAAAGTCATGAAAGACCGTCACAGACAAAGTAAGAAGATCGCCAGATCCTTTTTTTGTGTGCATCCCATGGCAACACACTGAGACTTAACGAAAATTGCCCAACTCCGTTCAACATAACCTTCCCTAACTTCACTGTATTCAGAATGTAGCTCAGATGACTCTCGAAAAACACTTTGTTTGTATGTTGTCACAGGACCACGTGATCCAGATTTGTTGCTTCATTTCTGTATATTGAGTTGGGTTTTCTAAAACGCTTTTTTCTACAAATAAAATGTTTTATACTATGTATATGCTTGTGGTGGTAATGGATTCAACCACATCTCTAGGTTACGGATTGAGTCCTGGATCTCGAGAAATGGAGTTTAACGTAATGGAATTTAAATCATTTAAAATAAAATTTTTCGGCAACATGTCGGATTTGTTTCGTTACAAGAAAAACAGGTTTACAAATTTTACGTAAAACACACTTTTGAGAACTTAAAATCTTAGGGGCAAATTGCCACCAAAACGCGTTTTTTATGGCCCTTAGTGACCCCAAACTGGTTTCACCAGGTTAGAATACCAGAAGACCTCTGAGGAAGCCACTGTAAACAGAGTCGTCTCTTTCTCTAATGAATTGGGACCCGTTTCTGACCGTTTCTGGGTAGAACTCTGAAACTGCGTGGCTTTCTTTATTGAGGTCAGATTTCACCTGCACCGCTCATCTAGTCAAAACAGAGTTTACAGACATCCTGAAGACGCCTACGACGAAACGTGTGCCGCGTCTAAAGTGACTAGGGCCATTGACAGCGTCAGCATCTTGAGTGGATACCACACTGGTGCCACAACACCGATGGTAGTCATTGGGGAAAGCCTGAACCAGATCAAATAAAATAATTATCTGGGAACCACTTGACTATTATTTGACAGGGGGCACCTTAAGAACAATTTTAGGTTGCACGATAAGATTGCGGTTCACACAGAGCACTTTTAACAGCAGATAACTTACAGAACCAAGGGAATGAGCAGCTACCTTGGTCATCAAAATCGCCATATTTGAACCACATAGACAATATGTGGGTAGGCCATTACTCGCCAAATCAACGGGCTATATGTCTTAAAACAAAAATGAACCAAATTGGACAAATGACTAGAATGTTATGCCAGATTTAATTTAACGAGGGTCCTTTGTGGGGCGTGCAATTCTTTAAAAGACGATAATTTGGAAAATATGGAGATCTAAAATATAGATTTTAATGGTCCTCACCCGACTAAGAATAGGCAATGTATTTTTGTTTGCTCCTCTGACGAATTCATTCAATGAATTGATGTCACAATGACACCAAAGGGATAATTAAAATTGTTATACGACCATTTTAATCCTTGTTTTTATTTACCAGGCAGCAAAATAGAAAAAAAAAACTGATGAAAAAACATTACATATAAAATGTCAAGTCTATATATATATATAGTAGTGTTAGATGAACAAACGTGATAAAAGCTTCAGCTGAATAACATTCTTGCCAACACTTACTTAGGTTAAAGACATCAACGATAAATGTTCGTTTTCATATTCGGTCACGTTTGCAATCTCGGTAAAAAATGTAACTTACGTATTGGACCGGTGGGCAGTGCCTCCTGATCCTCGGCTGGAAGGTTAGCTATTTCAGCTGTAGCATCGTCTCTTTGCGCCTCTTCCTCCGGAGTAAGAGGGATGGGACCCGCGCCAGTAACGGATGTCACCGTCGTCAAAGCGATGATCAGAAGCACGGCCACATATCTTGGTCCTGACATCTTCAAGAGAGTCCCCTTTCTTTTGTCGAATGTAGCAGAAAAGAAGGAGAAAGAGCAATTGAGAGACTCTCTCTTCCGTTCTACTTATAAATACAACTTTTTAAGGTGGGCACGCAGCGATTTTTCCACTTTGGAAAACTGAGAGTGCGCATGCTCGTTCTAACAATTTGCGTTGGTTGATGGAGAGGCGTTGTGTGTTTTAGAAATAAAAATTAAGAATAAAAAACTAAAAGGAGGGAGAGAGAGAGAAGAAGAAATTCACTTTAATACCTCTCTGACTCAAATATTTTTACTGTTAATTTCAAAGCATGTTATTGGGGTCTTGGGCATTTCGCTGCAGGCGAGATCTTTTGTGAAGACTGTTAAATAATCAAGTTCATATGTTTCATATATGACTCGGCCGCCCACTACAAAACTAACCTAGACGTTCAAGGAACCTTCGATCAAAAGAGCAAGGATGCACACTGTTACACCAATGTGAAGCAGAAAAGTAATATCTGGGCGAAATTGCTTTATGTTATAGCGATGCTCGAATTTGCCGGTCAACCCCATTTTATGATAACGTTATTTATTTGAGCTAGCTCATCCCCCATTCATTTTCTTTTTCTATCGACCAGTTTTTTAAAACGCCTCACAATTTTATGATACTATATTGCTCACCCAAGAATATCCTTGTTGAAGACCCACCACGACACCTTTCTCGTTAATTGAGTCACAGTTAATATATATATATATATATATATATATATATATATATATATATATATATATATATATATATATATGTGGGACGTATTAGCCTGTCAAATGAACAATTTACTAACAAAATAAAATCCATGTGGTAATGGGGGACCGGTGGTGTGTATGTATGTAAAACTATAATCCAGTAATTATCCAACATTTTAATTACCGAAATAATATAACGTCTTGGTATTGAAAGTGAGAAAAGGTTGTTTATGTCTCGCGTACAGCAAAATAATGCAAACAAACCTATCCAAAAATCATTAAATTCCCAGTTTTTAAAGAGTATCAGACAACGATAAATGCAAATTCGTCTAAACTTCCAGGGGTATTTGATATATAAGATTCCATTAACTGGCCATATAGTTTTCGAAGCGTTTTTCTCCTACGATATGCATTTAAAATAACTTACGAGTATTTACTTATGGGGGTACAATGAGTTATAATCTACAAACTGAATGACATCTGACAAAAAGGGAGGACAATACAAATAGTTCATATTTTGTCCCTGTCCACTCACATATCAGCCGATCCTGAGTAATGATGGCACGTTGCTACCCCCCCCCCCCCCCCAAAGGAGACTTAAGAAAATCTTTGACTTATCCACTAAAACCTAGAAGCCTTTCTTAATTAAACCACAAGGGACCCTAATGTTTGAAATATTTAGTATTTTGAAGACATTCTAGCTTAATTAATGCGGGTTTCAGCCGATATGAGCAAAATATTTTGTGCGGCTAGATTAAGTAAGACTTAATT